GGGGGGTGGAAATTTGTCAAGGTCATTCCGTGGATTTAATATTTTTTGTGTGTGTGTGCCGCTCGCCCCACCGCCACCGCCACCCAGCCTTGCTCTGTGGATTATCATCGCCCTGGATCCGAGGCTCTGAACAGCAGGATTTTTTTTGTTGTTGTTGTTGATTTTTTTTTTGAAATTATTATTATTATTATTTTAAGGGCTCCGGGGTTTGGAGAGGGGAAGCGGTGAGTTGGAGGGGGGCGACTTTTCTCTTACCCCCCCCTCCCGCGCCCCCCCACCCCCACCCCTCTACCCCCCCCCCGCGCCCGGCCTTCTCACCCCCACCTCCGTTTTTTTTTTTAAATTTTTAATTATTTTTATTATTATTATTATTATTATTATTATTATTTTTTAAAATTTTTTTTTTTAAATTCGCTTCTTCTTCGGCGATGGATGGGAAAATCCGGCAGAGCCGGAGGTCGAGGTCGCAGCGGGACCGCGTGCGGCGGCGGGAGGCGGCGGCCCGCGACCCGCGGAACCAGAGCCCTTCGTCGGGCTCCGAGAAGGAGCCGAGCCCCGGGAAGGAGAACGGCGGCCAGAACTGCACCGCCCCGCGGGGCCCCCCGCCCGCCGCCCGCGCCGCGCGGCCCCCGCGCCGCCGCCGCCGCGAGTCCAGCTCCCAGGAAGAGGATCTGATCGATGGCTTCGCCATCGCCAGCTTCAACACCCTGGAAGCGCTGGAGGTAAGAGCGGCCCGGGGGGGAAAAAAAACGGGGGGCTCTGCCCTTCCCCGCGGGGCGGGGGCTGGGGCGGGGAGGGAGGTGGGGGGTGGATGGAAGGAGAATAGAAGGGAAAGAAAAAAAAAAATAATCAAATTGAGAAAGGAAGCGCGCGGCGCTGCCGAATTTTTGCAAATGGCAATTGAGGTGCGTGAATCGCGGTGTCGAGCCCCCCCCCGGGGGGATCCCGGGTGCTCGCGGCTCCGCTGGCAACTTGGTGCCCCCCCCTTCTCCCTTTTGCTCCTTCCCTCCCCCGGCCCCCTCCTCTGCCCGGCTCCCGGCCGGTGTTTCGCCTCCACTTCGGGCGAGTCGAATGTTTGTTTGGGGTTTTAATTGGCTGCAAAATATTCCTGGCGTGTTGGGATGGTCCGGCATTGTTGTGAATGGTGGAGCTTTCCCCCCCCCCCCCCCTCCCGCCCTCCTTCCTCCCGCTCCCCCCTCCTCCAGCTCGGGAGTTTGTGTTTGCGTTGCCAAAATGTTACTTTATCTGTCTCCGGAGATTGTTAGCAAATGGCTAGTGTTTGACATTTTGTGGAAAAGAGATGTTTAAATGGATAATAATCCCTCGGTTGTAATTCCCATTTTTGAAGTAATTGAACAAATTCTTCATCTCTTGTTGACTGTACATATTTTTCTGGTGTTAATAGGCTGGCAAAAAATATTGCTTGTCTAACTTATTACAAACAATATTTGCTGAGCAAATACTGCCTGCCTTGTCTGAGCTAAGTTAAGCAGAGCAGGAAATTTAATATTTTCAGAGGGGCATTGACAAACTATGACTTTGGCTTTTGATTTTTGTTTTGTTTGTGTGCAAGGGGAAGAAGTGAGTTGTCTAGAGGAAGCATCTAACAAGTTGCTTGGTGGGTGTAATGACTTGAATTCCCAGTCAATATGAGCAATGCTGGTGCCTTTGCCCACTTTCCTTGACACACTGTGATAAAAACGTGGGCAAAGTTTTGGGTGCTCTCCCTACTTTGGATTTCCTGCCACTCGTGTGTCTGTAAACCTGCCGTGCAGTGGTGAAGAGTTCTGCTCAGGCTGATGAACAGTCTCAGATTTGCCCTGGGATCTCTGATGTCTTTGGCTCAGACTTTGAGGTCCCATTTTGTTTGTGGGCTTTGCTGCTCTCCAGCCCACCCCTCCTGCCCTGCAGGCCTCTGGTGGCATCGTGGTTATCCAGAGTTTTTCACCTGTAGAATCGACTTCTCAGAGTCCCAGAGATAGTCCCTGTGTGCCCACGGGGGTGTCAGCGGTGGCCTTGGCCATCTGCTGACGTGTCAGGACCCTTCTGTTCTGCTCAGAAGGGGCATTTAGCCCAGTGGTCCCTGAGCAGCTCTGGGTGTGCAGGTACCAGAGGGGGAAATGGTTTGTGTTGGCTTGGCCGTGGCTGTTCCCTGGCTTTTTGCGGCGTCATTTGTGGGGTGTTGTCCTAACAGGAAAGCCAACTAACTACTTTGTCCATGCAGAACTGATAATGAGCAAGCAATCTGCTTTCATGTGCCTCTAAGCCAAGCCCTAGACCTGTCTGTATATTGCTTTTTTTTTTTTCTTGGGCACGCTCTTAGTCAAATATGCATCAGCAGATAAGTCCAATTAAACCCCTGAGTCTCTACTGAGCTGTCAGTGAAAAAAGTAAAATTCATCTTCCTGCAGAAATTTTCTACCATGATGAGCACATTATCAGGAAATAGAATTCAAATGATGTTGCAGTCCCTCCAGGCTGACGGGGAAAACTCTGGGCTTTTCAAGTGGGATGAGCCCTGTTATTGAATCACCCACACCGTAACCTTGATAATAAGGCTCACAAGGGCTTCTACCCTTGTGGCCTTAAACTTCTGCCACCCCAAGGTGCTTCCATCTGTGGAAGCACTTCTGGTTTTTCTTTAAAAAACAAAAATCCACAAAACAATCTTTACAAAACAATCCACTTTCAACTGTTGCAAAATACTTGAGTGTCACTGGACATTGACTGATTTCTACTGTATTTGCCAACATGCAAGTGAACTCGTGCACCTCAGCATCTGGGACGATGTTGGCACCTCAGAGGGAGAAGTGTGAGCAGAATTCACCTGTTTCACACCAGCTGGGTGTGTTGTACTCGAGGTTGTTGTGTTCTTGGCGAGTCCCAATGGTCGTGTGCATTCCCTAAATCCCTCTAACACTAAAAAAGAAGAAAGTGCTTAGTGTTGTGTGGGTTTGTCCATGCAGTGCTGCCTTGGACCATGGGTGATGTCTGGCAGGTGTGATGCAGCAGCAAGGGAAGGGAATTGTTAAGGCAGAATTAAAGCAGTATATTCCCATGTAAAGAACCAAAATGGCAAGGTCATTTTGTGTGGTGTGGAGCTGTGTTCTCTGGTGAACTTGAGGGCAACAGGTGGTTTTCTTCTGCTTTGGAGGAGATCTGTGTTTTGGTGTATATTTGTTTTTTAAGAGGACTTAAAATCTACTGTAATGATATTTTTAAAATAAATAAGAATTGAAACCTATGTTCAAGTATAAAAGTGAATACACAACCTAAGGACAGTACTGAATGAAGAAAGTATTTTATTTAATGTTTTAATCCTAAAAGGAGCTTTTGTTGCATATGTGGTAGCTCGTGGTGTTGTAGGTTGGTTTGTTGCTTGATGTTATGGTGATCTGTGATTACATGCAATAGGCTAACTAAGCTTTGGGCTTCCCCTTGGAAATTAAATTTGTCAATATTTAGGTAGAACTTAAGGGTAGAATCATTTGGGAGAGGTAAGGTGGTTTTTGGTTTGTTTCTCTTTATATCTCAAAATATTGTGAATTCCCCTTCCCCGCTGAAGCAAATTCTCACTGCTGGTGTTCCTGTAAATAAAGGGTGCTTTATAGAATAAATATATATATTCTTCATTTGTGTTGACCTGGGAGTGTGGGCAGTTAAGCCTGAGGGATGGCTTTGAGATCTCTGTTAGCTCTTTGGTGAGAATTTCAAGCATTTTGGATTTTGTTTTAACTCATGTGGCAATGTTTACTTTGGCAGTTGTCATCTGAGAATCATGTTTCTTGTTTTGGCCTTACTTGTGACTTATGTGTCTCTGATCCTACCATCTTCCAAATAAAGACTGAGTTGATTATATATGTATTTTAAATTAAGGAAAAAAGAATAAAAAAGCCCACAGACAAACAAGCAGTGGCCTATTTCTGTGCATAAGAAGTTAAAACTTCCCCTTTCCCTTCCTTCCCTTGGATCTTCATGTATAAATCCAGCTCAGGTTTCACACAGGTTAAAGCTGAGGTGTGTGTAGTGGTGTTTTAGGTTTTTCATACCCAGTCACTCAACACAACTTTGGATTTACCCTGGGAGCTTGGTTTGCTCTGAGCTGTTGGTGGTCAGCGAGACGGGCAGCTCCTGGAAAACCATCAGGAGATGGTGCTGCCCAAGGAGATGGTCCCTGTGCCAGGAGTCAGGGAAGCTGGCTGGGCTGAGAGCCGGGGGGATTTCTGCCGGCCTCCCGAGATGAATGGTATGGATGGGAGCATGTGTGTATATTCATTACGTTCAGATGAAGCTGCTAATTATTCTTGAAGGTGATTGGTGAATCAGAGCGAGAGAATCTAAATGAGTGAGTCGGTAGTTGAGGGCTCTCTCTGATCATAGCTGTTCCTTTCAAGTATGAAAAACAGCGCTAAAAGGGAACTTCATCAGAATGTTAATGAATGCGATCTTTGAGAGCAATTGTTCTCCCAAAGTAGTTGAAAAGACAAGGGGTTGTGTTTTCTTTTTGGCGGTTGTTTATCATTTTTACAGATTCCAGCGAAGCTTTGGAGCTCTGAATGGAAATTTTAGCTCTCGTGA